GTTTGTTCTTTGATGGATGAAACCTAATGCATTTTCTAACGCCGTCTTTTCCACTCATGTGAAGGGATTTAATAGGTCCAGGCATTAAGAAGGTGGGAAAATAGCTGGAGTTCTAAAAACGAAGCCAATTATATTGGAATTCAGATTTTAAAACTAGTCCTTTCCTCAAGCAATCACAAGCGAACAGCTGTGCCTACATCAATCTGTATTTTCGTACCATAAATATCGTGTTCGGAGGGAATTCTTTTTGAATTGGGAAGAAAAGTAGATTTGTAGGAAACTGAGAAGCCAAGAATTCTGTAGACAGTTATGGCTAAAATAGCTTGTGAGAGGAACCTTGCTGTACCACACTACTTGACCACACTGCTCAGTGACACTGTGGCCCTCTGAGCTGGCTGTGGCTGACCCTGCTGTCCCCAAACATAAGGCTCCCCAACCTGGTTTCTGCCAGCACAGCCCAAGAAAAGAATGACTGATATCTCCCCAGGNACAGCCCAAGAAAAGAATGACTGATATCTTGAACTTAGGTTCAAGGCCTGGGACTCAGGCTTCCTGTGTTACTTTACTCTCCTGCACACTGCACCGGAGATCATGAATTAACCACTTTAATGTACACAGCTGTTTTTTACCTTACTTTGAAGAAATCTCAGTGTGTAGTTATCTCAGACAAACATCTTGTCCCCCTGATTTCTTCCCCTTTCAAAAAACGAAGATGCCCCAATTACCATCCACAACCCCAACAGCAGAGAAGTTCTCTCTCTATATATTTTTATTGATTTCAGAGAGAGGAAGAGAGAGGGAGAGAGAGAGAAACATCAATGAGAGAGAAACATTGATTGGCTGCCTCCTGCACGCCCCCTACTGGGGTTAAAGCCCAAAACTCGGGCATGTGCCCCAACCGGGAATCAAACCTGCACCTCCTGGTGCACCCGACTCCCCCCAACCAACTGAGCCACACTGGCCAGGCGGAATTCTCTTTTATAAAAGGTACAGACATCAGGACACCTTGAACTATAGATGTCTTGTGATTTATTGTCACCTTGCGGTGACGAAGGCTGCACTGGACTAAGATGCTGGGGCTCAAGTTCCAGCAAAGAAAGAGGAGCAGCCTCGTGAGAACCCAGAAACCCTTGTCAGCTTTAGATCCCAGCACCAGCCTTTCCTCGATGCAAAAAGCTGTCACGGTAAATCATGGATTCGCACCTGTTCCCTCCTCCGTGGCTTTGTCCTGTCTCCCAAACCAGGCACACACCCTGGGTGTTCAATATACAAGCAGAGACCACAGCAACGGTCGAGGTAAAAGGGGTTGTTTATTATAGGGATCGGCTCGCCTGATTGTGGAGGCCAGCGAGCCCCTCGATGTCCAATCTGCAAGCTGGAGACCCAGGGAGCCAGCGGGGTGATTCAGCTGAAGACCTGGGAACCAGGCCGATGTCCGAGGCAGGAGAAGGGAGCAGATTCGCCTTTCTCCTAGGAGTGAAGGGATATAATCAGGGTGCTTGGACGGGACCGTGAAGAGGCTCTCCTTTCAGAGGGTCTGAAATGCAGCCTGTCCGAGTCTACTGGGCTCCCTTGTCTATGCCCAAGTGGCTGCCACAGTGCTGATGACGCAAAACGGGAAGCGGTGAGCACCGCAGGCCTCCTGAGAGCCAGGCCCCGGAGAAGGAATGACCTCTGGAGAAGGCCCCGGTGGAGGAATGACCACAGAGCCAGTGTGCTCCAGAGGGGACATCTGGCCAGGGGACCCCCCTGACTGGTGCACTCAATAGGACATATTCTTGCTGGGGGGCAGGGAGGAAATCCACCTGGACGCACAGACCCCCAGAGGCAGGAATCGGCAGGGTGGACACCTCGCCCATTGTCAGAAGTGGACCACAAGGAATCCACCGGCACTGGGCAGATGCTTTCTTCCCCTCACCCCCCACAGCTTCACCTGTGGTTGGAGGGGAGCACACCAGGCCCTAAGAGTGCCTGTTATGAGCCCCCTTTGCAGGCCACTTACTGAGGACCCTTAGCTCAGGCATCCTCACAACAGCTCTAGCTGGCAGGCGTTGATTTCTCCATGTGACAGATGAGACTGAGTGAGAAGGGGCGATAACTTGCCTGAGGTTATCCAGCCAGTGAGGGGCAGAGCTGCTCAAATTGGACTCATCTGCCTCTCCAGCCACCACCCTGCATCCTGCCTGCTGGGGGGACGGGGCTGAGCCTGGAGCCAGAGCTAAAGGTGAGGGTCAGAGAGAGGTTCCAGGCGTTGAAACATCTGGGAGCATTTTGGGTTGTTCCGAGGACAGGAAGGTGCTGGTATTTCCCAGGAGCCCAGATGTTAACCCCCTGCAGGACACAGCGTCCAGTGACAGTCCCACACGAGGAACCTCTGCCTGCTCCAAATGCCACTGCACCCTGGTGGGGGCGCTGCAGGTGTAACCCTTGCTCTCTCTGGGGTCTTTGAGATGCTACATAAAAGGGACACGGTGGGATGTCTTCCCTCAGGAAGACTTAGCACCAGTTCCCAGGGTTCTGAAAGGCATCCTCTCTTACACTGGATGGCGGTCACCTTGAACCTGGGCTGTGGGTGTCAGAGGTCAAGCACAGAGCAACCACGAGGTCAGAGGTCAGCTGTGGCCCAGTCCAGGAAGGTCACTGTCCACAGCCATCACTGGGTCCAGTCTGTGAAACCTCAGTGGCCCCTTGAAAAAATGTTAGGAGTTTTTCCCTTAGAACTAGAATCTTGGCACCTTTTTATTTTTACTCTTTTTTGCTGGAGGAAGACCTGAATATCTATTCCCCTGCCCTTTATTTTCCACACCTCAGATCGGCAGCTGCTGCGCTTTCTTTTTATATTGTGTTTAATTCCCCCCCCTGCCCCAACACTCACCTTTTTCTCGGTTAGCATCACACCTCCGGGCTCTGGCATAAAGCGGGGAGAGAGCTGGATGGTGATGATCCCCTTCGGCCCGAGTCTCAGCCGAGCCTCCCTTGGGCTCCGCCTGCAACCACCAGGGTCCAGACCCCAAAACCCGCAACTGTTGCTAATAATTTCTAGGTGGTAAGAAATATTTTTTAAACATATTTTTGTTGATTGTAGAGAGAGAGGAAGGGAGAGGGATAGAGAGATAGAAACACTGATAAGAGAGAAACATTGATCGGCCGCCTCCTGCACGCCCCCTACTGGGGATCGAGCCCACAACCCAGCCATGTCCCTGATAAGGAATTGATCTGGTGACCTCTTGGTTCATGGGTTCACCCTCAACCAACTGAGCCACACTGGCTGGGCAGAAACATTTTTTTAAAATAGTGTTGCACAAGAATCTTTATTACTCCCCCCCCTGGGTTTTCATGGTGTTATTTTGCTTATAACTAGCAACTGCTGGGATCTGAGTCATTGGCTGAACCTGGGGGGTTCGAAGGCCAAGCAATTGCACTTGGACCAGCCAGAAGTTCTAGGAGCCGGATCTGTGTGCTTCTCAGAGGAGGCAGAGGGAGGACAGGGTAGCAGAAGCCAGTCTCACCCCATATGGAGAGTCTGTGGAGAGAGGTGGAAGTTCTCCAAGCCTCGGTATTTCTCCACTGTTACTTGGAAGTGAGCTTCCCAAGGTCCTAACTAACAACACTCCCAAGGTAGCAGAGTGCCCCCTACCTCCAGCTCCTGTCAGGACACGCAGGGGTTTCCACTTGCCCCAAAGCCAGTGGCCGGCCCAGTGCAATCCTTGGAAATACTGCAAGTCGTGAAGATAAATGTTCCCACTTAGGGGGCAAGTGCATCTCCATTAGTGGTCGAATAGGACAGTCTTGGAATGGAGCCTCTGCAGTGGGTGGTTCTCAGTGGCCTCTGAGAAAATGTGCAGAGGACACATTCAGACCCTCTGGAGGGATACTGGGGCCAGCCAGGTGTGACCCAGGGACCCTGGCTGCTTACGGGGCCTGGCAGGGCCCGGGCACCCGTGGGCGGTGCAGGACCTCCAGCCAGTTGGGGCACCAGTGATACAGCTGTTACGTGTTAAGTGCCTACTGTGTTCTGGACATTCATCCACCTTCTGACCCTCCCACAGTGCTGAGGGTTAGGAAGTGTTTCCCTCTTTACAGGACAGGGGAGCTACAACCCCGAGAAGCTAGACAAGCTGCACATACCCTGTAGCTCCTCAGGACAGAGCTGCGATTGGAACATTCACGTGCATGATGTCACTCAGAGGGTTGGTGGCAGAACCAAGCCCCAGAGCTCCTGCCAGTGCAGCTACTCACGGGCCACTGGCCGGGTTGCCTGCGAGGGGGAGGCTGCGGCCGGGTCGCACCCAGAGCCAGCAGAATCGCTGCGAATTTGTCACGGGCCGAACCCTAGCAGAGCATTTAGGAATCGGGTTAGGGATACTGCCTGGGAATTACTCCCAGGCAGACAAGGGCTTGGGATAGCTGTNATCCGCAGACAAGGGCTTGGGATAGCTTTTTTTTTTGGTAAATATTTTGTCCATAAATATCTTAGTTTTATTTCCTTCGTTGTCTGGCACGTAGCAGTATGCATTATTTTTTTTAAATATTTTTAAAATATGTTTTTATTGATTTTGGAGAGCGAAAGGGAGAGAGAGAAACATCAATGATGAAAGAGAGTCATTGATCGGCCGCCTCTTGCACGCCCCCTACTGGGAATCGAGCCTGAAACCTGGGCATGTGCCCTGACCGGGAATCGAACCGTGGTCGCCTGGTTCATGAGGCAACGCTCAACCCCTGAGCCCCCCAGCCGGGCCATGCATTATTAATGGAATAGCTTAATACTATTTATGCAGTAGGCATCCTCTTTGCAATGGAAAACGAACCTCTCGGAACGTAGCTGCTTCCCGTGACAATGCAGAGGGGCCTGTCTCGGGGACAGCCCGCTGGTCTGGCGATGGACGTGTCAGCGCGTCTGTCTCTAAGGAATATAGTCACCTGGCCCCATCTATGCTTGGGGGGCTTTGCATGGCATGAGCACGTGGTACTCAAACACTTATTCCTCCCCACTGCCCAAGTTTGTCCGCTACCTCCGATGGTGAGTCACGGCGATTTCGTCTGCCACCCGCGGCCTTGTGATCGCTACAACCACGGGACCGTCGTGGAGTTCTACTGCGACCCAGGCTACAGCCTCACCAGTGACTACAAGTACATCACCTGCCAGTATGGGGAGTGGTTTCCCTCCTACCAAGTCTACTGCATCAAGTCAGGTGAGCTCGCCCAGGGCCTTGCCCTAGCCCCAGGATCCGGGGCCCACAAAGCTGGTACCATTTGGGGTGAGACGTGCTCACACTTATAAAAACGTAAGCCGTTTGCAACCGTAAGTGCTTCGTAGTTAATAACAAGTTACTAGCAAACCAACCTCGTCACTGGTTTCAGGGACCCAGGGTAGGGACCCCACGGAAGAGCCCCGAGCCCCGGCGACACCTGCCCGCTGTCTCCTGCTCGCTCGCCCTGCGGTTTGCCAGGCGTGCCCGTGGCCGCCCAGTGGGGGTGGCTGCACACTGTCCCCCTGGACAGAGCGGGTGAGGGAAGCATTTGGTAACAGGGCACCTGGAGGCCCACAGGTGGTCATGCGAACCAGCCAGAGGAGGAAAGCGAGGTGTTCGGGGGGGAGGGGGGTGTTTCTGAGCAAGACGAGGGGAGGGAGGAGGAATTGGCAGCAGCTGCTGTGCCAAGGACAGGACTATTTTGGGAGGATCAGCCCTTGCCACCCCTCACCTCGTAGACGTGACCTTCTAGCCTCTGTGCCTTTCTTCTCTGCACCCCAGTCTGTTCCAGACACTCCCAAAGGCCTTTAGCTGAGCCCCGGCTCCTGGGCCATTGCAGGACAGGACTTCTCCAGGGGAGAGGGACCCTCTCTCAGTCTCTGCCCAAGAAGCGGGTACTGAGCCCCTGCCAGGCTCTCACCCTGGTCTGGAGGGGACATGCAGGTTGTCCTTCAACCTGGCAGAGACCCCTGGAGACAGGGTTTGTGCTGCGGATCCCACGGCCGTGTAACACTGGCCGGCCTGGTGGCGCCCGGGGGCAGTGGAGAGTGGATGAGTGGCTCCCGTCCAGGCCTGTGCAGCAGACGGGCATGTGGGAGCCTTCGCACCCATTACAGCCTGGGGGTCTCATGTGCCCCTTTGTCATCCCGTCCTCTCTCTCTCTCTCTCGGCAGAGCAAACGTGGCCCAACACCCACGAGACCCTCCNCTCTCTCTCTCTCTCTCTCTCTCTCTCTCTCTCTCTCTCTCGGCAGAGCAAACGTGGCCCAACACCCACGAGACCCTCCTGACCACGTGGAAGATCGTGGCGTTCACGGCGACCAGCGTGCTGCTGGTGCTGCTGCTCGTGATCCTGGCCCGCATGTTCCAGACCAAGTTCAAGGCCCACTTTCCCCCCAGGTCAGTGCCCCCCGCAGCCACCAGTCAGGCTCTGTGCAGCCCCCTTGGGCAGCAGAGACAAGAGGGGGAGCTGGACCCTGGATGAATGCAGGGCTGAGGTTCACAGGGAGAATACGGGGAGAGCTGAACACGATCCTGGGGAGTTTGGGGTGTCTGGGGGTCAGAGCGCCAAGCTGGAGGCAGATTTCATTTCCCTCTTTCAGCCCCCGCCCCACCCCCTGTGAGCCCGTGTGTCCCTCCTTCCCTGGATAGACGGTTCTTGAGGGGCATCTTGGGGTGTGAGAAGGAAGCACAGAGTGGGGGCTGCACACTGTGCCTGTCCCCAGGGGCGCCATGTCCACTGTCCCCTACGTGCATGTGGGCCTGGAGTGATAGTCCTTGGAGCTCCTGGTCCACAGAGAGGATGAGGAATGTGCAGGGCTAATTAGGAGACAAGGTCAAAGATGTGTGACCCAGCGGAGGTCCGAAAACAGAGTCCGATGAGGAGTCTCAGGAAGGGACTCTGGATGGGGGGCCTGGACCGGGCTGGAGAGAATCGGCCTCAAAGCAGGACCTGAGCGTGGGAGTGGGGCCTGTGGAGGGCACCGCCCCTCCTCCTCGGCTGCAAAAGGGGCTTGGGTTGGTGTCTTCATTCTCCCAGCCATCAACCCCCAAGAGGAGATTGTCACACTTCCTCACAGCCTTGCTGCTGGCGGGTCACAGTTCTGGAAGAAGCAATTTAGAAAGCAAAGGGAGTCCGGCCGGCGTGGCTCAGCTGGTTGAGCGTAGTCCCAGGCACCAAAAGGTTGCCAGTTCCATTCCCGGTCAGGGCACATGCCCAGGTTGTGGGCTCCATCCCCAGTAGGGGGCGTGCAGGAGGCAGCCAATCAGTGTTTCTCTCTCATCGATGTTTCTCTCTCTCTCCCTTTCCCTTCCTCTCTCTCTAAAACCAATTAAAAAAAAAAAAAAAAAAAAAAAGGATGGGTTCATGAACATTAGAAGGAGAACAGGGCACCAAACGTCACAGGACACTAGCCAGGGCTCAGGGACACAGCAGCCTGTCATCGAGGAATCATTACATCCTTGGGTTCTGGGCCCATGTCAATCTTCTCCTATTGAAACATTATGCACCAGAAAAGGGTACTTGTCTTCTCCCATAGGGGACAGACTGACCCCCAGGGCCGTGCCTGCCATGCCCCGGAAAAGAGAATGCTGCTTAGTGGAGAGGGGGCTGCCATGTGCAGGGCGTGGGGGCCGCCTGCACCCCTCACCAGGCCCAGCGTGGGTCACCGAGCGCAGCACCTCCTTTCCGCTCAGACCTGCCATCCTCTCTCTCGGTCCTCAGAATTATTATTTATGAATCGAGGGACCATGTTCTATCATTGAGCAATTACACAATTCTGAAAAAGGCCTGAGGATTCCAGAGAGAGTGCTCGACTACATATTGTGATTTATGCTACATTGGAGCCCCTTAAAATGGCCCATGGAGCTATTTTTCTACATCCGCTTGGAAGAAAAGTTATCACGACTAAATATTAAGATTTAAAAAAAATGTTCCCAAAAATTCTTCACTTGATTTTTTAATCCCTTAAGTAATTTCATCTGATATGATGTTCTAATTGTTTTGGAAAAATTGGGCTCATCCAACCAAATAGATAAGACTCTCAAGAGCAAGACCAGAAGGGTTTGTGGTTTTTTTCTCTCCAGGTCCCACAGGTGTAGACACTGAGAGATGCGTGATGACTGTGCCTGGGAGCTGGGTGTCGTGGCTGGGACACGGGGAGAGGCTGGCCATCCGTTAGCCACTCGGTTGTGTTAGGAGGGCAGGAGCGGAGAGTGGTGGTCAGACAGGCTGGGGCTTCGGCTCCACCTGGGCTCAAACCCACTGGGCTCAGATGTACAGGGTGACGGGACAGAGAGGCAGGGCTGGGAGCTGCGTGGGTGCCACGTAAAACTAGCCGCCCTCTCCCATGACCCCTTGCTGCAGGCAGCACACCTGTAGCTAATGTTCAAGAGGCCGCTGGGCCGGGAGGTGGAAGCGAGTCCGACGTAACTTGAATCAGGTGTGAGATGGTGCTCGGAGCTCCCCCCCCATTGTTGTTTTTCTATCTTGACTAAAAATTAGTGATTTTTATACTGTAACAGGAAGCAAAAAAGCATAAGAATCACATGTAGAGTGGGCCCGTAGAGTCCCAAGTTCCCTGTACTCTTTAAAAAAAATTATTGATTTTTTAGAGAGGAAGGGAGAGGGAGAGAAACATTGATTAGCTGCCTCCTGCACACCCCCTACTGAGGGTGGAGCCAGCATCCTGTTATGTGCCCTGACCGGCAGAATGGAGCTGGCAACCTTTCGGTGCACTAGAATACACCCAACCAACTGAGCCACACCAGCCGGGGCCCCTGTACTCTCAACGGTGCTGTTCTGTTCCCAGCAGCCTTCCCGAAGGACACCACAGAGGCACATTGATGCTCAGTTGGAATGGGCCACATGGTCCCCAGCCCACAAGGTTGTGGCCCTAAGGCCAAGCCCAGAGGTCAAAGAGGGAGGAAGGAAGTGTGAGGAGAGAGCAGAGGGGCCAGGCAGGAGGACACGGGACAGGAGAAGAAACCTCTGCTCCCCAGAGTGGCCACGGAGACAGCGCCATCTGCCAGAGGAGGCCCAGATGGGAGGCCGGTTCTCCACAGCGCATCCATGCGGGGCTCTGTTGCCCGTCGTGGGCCCTGAGGACCTCAGCTGCAGCGGGGGGCGCTGGTGGTTTCATTCCTGGGGTGGCGTGGCATTGACATGTTGGCACCGCTCTTCTGTGCACAGGGGGCCTCCCAGGAGCTCCAGCAGCGACCCTGACTTCGTGGTGGTGGACGGCGTGCCCGTCATGCTCCCGTCCTACGACGAGGCTGTGAGCGGCGGCTTGAGTGCCTTAGGCCCTGGGTACCTGGCCTCCGTGGGCCAGGGCTGCCCCTTACCCGTGGATGACCAGAGCCCCCCGGCATACCCTGGCTCGGGGGACACAGACACAGGCCCCGGGGAGTCAGAAGCCTGTGACAGCGTCTCGGGCTCTTCCGAGCTGCTCCCGAGTCTATATTCATCTCCCACGTGCCAAGGGGGCGCCCACCCCGCTTCCGACAACCCCGACACAGGTGCCAGCATGGCAGGGGAGGTGGCATCCACCAGCCCAGGCATCGACATTGCCGATGGTAAGCGTTTGCCCTGAGGCCCGGGCGCCCTGGCACACTCCTCTGCACCCAGCACCCAGCATCTTCAAGGCAGCACGGAGCAGAATCAACCTGCTTCCCTCTCGCTCAGCTTAAATTGCCTCCTGCTCTCTCTGCGTGTGGAGGCCAATTAGGAGGAGTGATCATCTCACAAGTGATGAGCCCATTAACGGAAATTATAGGGGCTCCAAAGGGCACCGAGCCATCCAGAGCAGAAAGGCTCCAGTGGCCGGCCCTTGGTTTTCATGGCATCTTTCTGATCCAGGATGCTTTTCTGCACCCCTTAATTAGGCAGGACTTCTAGAGCGGCGCCTAGCCTGAGGGTGGCACACGCGCGCGTGCCAGGAGGGAACACCCAGATGTGTGCCGTAGGGCCTGGTCCCGGAGAAGCTCTGGGCACGTGCGGGTTATTTTTACCAGGTGTGTGTCTGCCTGTCTCGGGAAAGGCAGGCTGGAGCGCATGGTAAAGGAGGAAAATGCACCAGACTAAATAGGGCTGTTTCCCAGGGGAGGGGGCGCCAGCTCCACTTCCCAAATGCGACACTAATTGCAGCTGGTAACAACAGTAAGTGGCAGTAACGACGTGGAAACAGGGGTCTCCTGGTGCCCACTGAGTTCCTTTTCTGCAGTTCCTGCTGCCTCTCTGCACCTGAAATTGTTACATGGTTAAAATCTAACATTTTTGTTTTTTAAATTTTTTAAATAAAATATGTTTTTATTGACTTCAGAGAGAGGAAGGGAGAGTGAGAGAAACATTGATGAGAGAGAAACATAGATCGATTGCCTCCTGCATCCCTCCTACTGGGGGTTGAGCCCATAATGGGGACATGTGCCCCAACCAGGAATCGAACCATCGACCTCCTGGTGTGTGGGGTGATGCTCGGCCAACTGAGCCACACCAGCCAGGCTAACATTTTTGTTTTTATGATCTGGGTCTGAGATTTCCCAGCAAATAGAGGTTATACGGAGGAGTTGGTTTTTTATTATTAATCGATATGTGGAACTTAACATTTTCTCCTCACTGATTTCAGGAATTGTAGATATTCTAATAAAGCTTACAATTACTGGTTGTTTTCTGTGTATTAAATAATAATAACCTTTTCTTTCACAGAGATCCCTCTAATGGCAGAAGATCCATAGCCAGGCCAAGTCCCAGTGCTTCTACTGCCCCTTTGGGAACAGAACCTTGTACCTTGGAGTGAGGCACAGAAGGACAGAGTACGGGGCATGGGGTCGTGTTCTAATTTGTCTACACAGAGACAGTGACTCACATCCTACATCGCAGACTCAACAGAGGGTGACAGACACTGACACACTTCGGTGGGACCTGAGGACTTGCCAAGACCAATGGGAAATAAAGGGAAGAGGGGAAACCCCCATGTGGATGAAGGTGTCAAGTGTGTTTCATGCTGGGGACACGAGACAGTTCCACGCACGTGCCACTGAACCCAGGGTCCCATTGAATTATGTCATGAGTACTACCTGCGTCCTCTGAAAGCATGTCACATTATGTAAATTTGCTTCCAAAATCTGCTTCACACGGTCTCTGGATTCCAAGTCAGGCTGGATCGGCCTCCACGGGAAGCCTGGGTTGAGCTGCAGGAAGAGCAGCAGAGCGCCCCCTGGAGGCCCCCAAAGGGAAGGTTCTCTTAGGACTTTGGGACAATCTTCCTCCGTCTGGACGCTTCTACTCCGAGCAAGACTAAAGTGGGATGTGGCAGTCCCAGCAAGAAGGGAAAGACTCAGGCAGACTCTGCTTTCTGGAAGTTTCTTCACAAAGTAGAGTTCATGTACTCCGTGCTGTCCTTTGGTGAAATAGCGTCAGTATTTGTGCTCACGGTCTAGTCCTTGGATCCATGGCATTGGACAAATCTTGTGACTTGACAAATGGTCAGAATGTGTTCAAATACATCTCATGGTGGAGACAGTAACCAAGGTAACGTCCTTTTTCGGCATTTTGAAAAGATTCCACTTGACAATGTATCTCTCTAGTCAACTGTTATGACTGTGGCCCTCACTCCCAAACTCAGCCATATTTTATTTTCCGAAACAGAAATTGTTTCTGTAAACACATTCCTCCTCCAAATAAAGTATGAGGTTGGATTTAATTTCTTTCCCCCCTCTTATTTTGTCTTATAAAATAAAGCCTGCAGGCCCGCCTCCCAGCCTGAAGACAGCTCTGCCCTCCCACTGCTGGGCCTCTGGCTGCCTCGCCCTCCTGCGCTCCTACAGCGAGGGCTCTGGGGCCCGCTGGGTGTTGTTCCTAAGAAAATGACTGATAAAAAAAATTCCCCGAGTCCTGAGATGTCTCATCAATACTTATGTTGATATGTGGACTTGCTTCCTCTCTTCCTCTGGGTTTTAGATAAATATAAACAAAACTCTGACCCATAAAATTGCTATGTCGATGGAGCCGTGGGAGCTGGGAGCCTGATCAATACTGTTTTTTCCTGACACGGACTGATTAAAAATTAAAAAGAAAATGTCAATTTGAAGCGTGACTTTCATAGAGTCGGGTGGACAGGAGGGACAGTGACAATGATCACAGGTGGAGATGAGGTGTGGGACTAGAACCCGAGGCCTAGCCCCGTGCCCTGGGACATGAGCGTGCTGGGTGGGCATGTTTATAATTATAACTTTGTTCACTGATCGCCTCACCCTCCACTGGCACACTCTGAACTACAATCCCCATAGAAGGAGATGGTTTTTGCTAGTGTTTGTGCTTAAACGCCATGTGGTCCACTCAGAGAGAGAAGACATGGGCGGCTGGATGGGAGTGGGGGCATCCGGGGCTCACTTGGGGCGACCTCCCCCAGGCAGCCTCCCCAGAATCCCTGTCAGGCCAGGTCGGTGCTCTTCTCCTTGCCTACACCTGCCCTCCCTTCCATGCCCCCTAAATGGAGGGCGTGTCTCAGAAGCCACCAGGTAAGGGCCTCCTTTCCCACGGGACAGGTGGGAACAGGCTTGTGAGGCTGTCTCAGGGCCTGGCCTCACCTCCTTCCAGAAACTCTTCTCCTCCCCAAAGCAGACATGCAGCTGCTCACCTGGGAGCTGAGTACATCCAAGGATGCCTGTCTTGCCTGGCACCTGAGAGACAGGTACCACAGGTGCCACATATGTCCAGGTATCCGTGTCAACATTGTCCTAAGGACCGAGGCTGGTAGAAAGGAGATTGCCTGCTCAGTGGCCCCATCAGACAACGTCCAACCAAATCACCTGGGTCCTCCCCTCGGTCCCTTTAGTGTGTGGCCACATCAGCATCTCACCCACAATATCATTTACGACGACTGATTTATTTTTCACCATAGTGGGCAGAGGAAGCCGGAGAGAACCCTCCTGGTGCCCTAAGCAGGCCTTGATTCTCTCTGCATTTCAAAGTCCTGGGAGGCCCTGTGGGTGTGAGTGGAATAGATCTTTCTCGAACTGCCTTGGGAAGAAGTAGGTAAGAGCACACACGGGCCATACTGTGAATTGCGCCCAGAGAACCATCCCGATGCTGCTTCCTGCAAGGGGGAGGGAGGCACCTGCAGGACAAGGGCCAGGAGCCCGCAGGGAGAACCCCGGGTGTCTGCCCAGGGTCCCCTGAGGTGCTCACATAAGCAGGTATTTCGAGGAACCACCGACAGTCATTTCTGGCTGATGTGCTCCTGGTCACAAGCCCAGCAGAAGTCGCAGGACATCCTCACACTTTTGCTCCCTTGTAGATTTTTTTTTAATTGCAAGGCTGCAGTTTGCCGGTGTGGGGCCTTTAGAGCCATCCCGACCTCATTACAGCCATCGCAGCGGCTGGCACCCAGGCAGCCTGCCTCCCATGCCCCTGGCCACACAGCGGGCCAGGCCAGTGGGTGTCACTCATGGGCCACCCCTGCTGGTCCAGATGCCCCTCCCCTCCTTGGCTCCCTCCCCGCATGCCGGATGGTGCTGGGCCGCCTTCCACATCTGGCCAGGTCCCTGTGTATCCCCCACAGAGGCAGCGACTTAGCTGGGGAGAGCCTGGGCTTTGCCATGGGCGACACCTGGCTTAAAACCCCCACTAACTGGTGTGTCCTTGGACTAGTAATTGTCCTCCCTGGGCCTCAGCCTCTTCCTGCAGAAATTAGAATTTCCCTCTGCCTTCCTCGCCGGGCTGTGGTGAGGATGACAGCTGATGTAAGTCAGAGCGCACAGTAGGCACTTGGTGAGTGGCAGCTGGTCTCCACTTGCTGCCCAGTGTGAGGGAGGGTGTCAGGTGGGTGATTAACCCAGATATATGTCCCTAGGCACCTTTGACCTGCCTTTGTCCCTGCCATCCTGTGACAGGTTGCAGGCAAGCTTGTTTGGGGCTGCCCCAAGCGATGGACCAAAATGTGCTCTGCCCGGTCCCCTCAGTCCTCTGCCCAGGAGCCCCATCCTGGCTCCTACGTGGGGGGCTACCCGGCACCATCCAGCATGGGGGGGAGCCAAAGAGTGGAGGAGCTTTCTGGGAGAGGGAAATTGTCAGTCCAACCCTGGACCCTCTGCTCTCCCTCCCAGCACAGCCCTCTCAGATGCTACAGAAAGTTCTGCTGGGATGGGGGCAGGACAACCTCAGAAATGTTCCCAGGGCCTCTGAAGGACTCCGGTCACCTCCACAGGCAGCCCTGGAGATGAAGAGCAACCTGCTCCCCTAATTTTATTGTCTGTTTTGGATTTGAGGCATTAAAGTTAATGCCCGTGCATTTGCAAGGTGATAAAGAGGAAGGTCCCCGGTAAAGACGCCTGGACTAGCGGAACAGGGCCCCGGAGAGCAGCAGCCACTTGTCGGGGAGGGCGGCGCTGCTCGCGACGGCCCTGACATCATAAAACTTAACACGGAGCATGGGCCGTTGTGTTTAACTGCCAGGTGGGCAGCGTGCCGCCTCCACACTGGGCAAAAGCCAGGCCTGGGGACCGCAAGGCAGCGTGAGTGGCTCTGATCCCTGAGTAGGAGCCTCACCCACATGTTCAGAACCCGCAGGGGTCCCCGGGTCCTGCTCCTCCGAGGCCGAGGGATAAAACACCAAAAGCCAGCAGATGCATATAGAATTTTGGGGCAGGGGACACGGGATGGATCCTAAGGGAATAACAAGACTAGTATTTTCCGCTTGGATCCTGTAAGAAATATTTATAGACCCAGTTACAGTCAATAAGCTGTTACCAAGCACCCGCTGTGTGCGGGGCCCTGTCTGTGTTCTCTTGGCCTAAGGAAGCGAGGACCAGCGACCAGGCCGGACATGCTTGTCGGAAACGGCCTGGAGAGGCTCTGGAACCCTTTTCAGAATAATATTTAAAAAAAAATTTTTTAATATATGTTTTTATTGATTTCAGAGAGAGGAAGGGAGAGGGAGAGAAAGAGAAACATGGATCGACTGCCTCCTGCACGCCCCCGACTGGGGATCGAGCCTGAAATCCGGCCCTGTGCCCTGACCCAGAATTGAAACCGGCCACCTCCGGGTGCACCGGACTACGCTCAAGCAACTGAGCCACACCGGCCGGGCTCAGAATAATATTTTGAAGTACACAAAATAAATTAAACCAATGGATTCTAGGGAAATACAGCGATCAAAATGTCTTTTAAAATTAATATAGTTACATTTTTATCTTAACACATTCAATGAAAAGGTCTAGCAGCCAATCTGATAACCACGGTGAGTGAGCGCGACCCGTTGGCGTGCCCTGTATTTTGAGACCTCAGTAAACACTGTCATGTGATATGAAAATATCTAGCTTCTTCTGGTGGCAAAGTCCCAGGTACATCCGATGCTGTGATCTGTCACTTACGTGATGGTGAAGGAGACACTGAACTCTGTTAGGGGTTAGTGAGAATGAGATGCGTGTGTCCCATCCAAGTCCGTGGCTCCCATGCGTTTTATGTACCAACCCGGGTTCAATGTGACTTTGCTGAGAAAGACGTACCTCCGAGGGGTCTGCTTCCAGTGGGAAAATAGATGTGGGGTCTCGTGTGGGGTCCCTTTGGGGGGCCTTGAACATTAGTTACCCTCCCTCTTCTCTGAAACAGTCTCTCTATGGCAGCACTTTTGTAAGTTCACGATGCTAATAGATGTTGGGTGAAAAAAGCTTCCTG